ATTTACACAACCTCACAATTATTGGTGATGTCCTTAATGTTTGGTTAATGCTGCCGTATTTTATGGATATATTGCTTCATCTGTATCTGTCTTGATATTTGATTATTGTTGCCATATCTTTGTGGATTATTATTATTTTTTTTGAAAGCACCATAGTTTGTGTCAGGGGGAAAAATCCTTTTTATTTTTTTTAAAATTTTTTTTTTTTTTTTTTTTTTTTTTGAAAACAAATCCAAAAATTAACCCAAAAATTTTTTTTTTTTTTTCCCCAGTTAAAAAAAAAAAAAAAAAAAAGGTCCCCGTTGTTTCTAGTTTAATTGGATTAGATGGTCTAGTTTCATGTCTGTGGATTTACTCTTAAGTTTATTTTTTAATTTAAATTGTTAAATTTGTAGAGATCACAAAAAAAAATTAAATTAATCGAAAATTATAGTTATTTCATCGGATTACATTTTTTTTTTTAAATATATGGAAAATATTATTTCGAAAATAGGCCATGTATTTTTTTCAAACACAAACTAATCATGTGGTACCGATTTTATATCAACTTGAATTTTTGTATGTATAAATTATTCGATGATCCTTACAATTGAACAGTATAAATCAACAAGACAAACCCAAGATTAGGCCTACAATAATGAAACTGACTCTTATGTTTAATTTTGGCTCAAGACAATCTGAGTTCTCCTAAAAATTAGAAGAAAAATGTTAAGCATCCTAAACTCTTGCTGAATTTTACTCTGAAAATAAAGTGTTATAAATTTAAAATTAATGGAATATAAGTCGCAGTAAAAATGATTATAGTATTGAAATTAGAAAGATCCAAAATTAAGTAATTAAATCAAATATATATATATATATATATATTTGGAAGGTGACAAAACTTCTTGGCGAAAACAAATAGAATTAGACTTGCAAGAGAGAATTAAAGAAGAGAATTTCAATATTTGCCAATAAAACTTTTTTTTAAAAAAAAGTTACTTACCAGACAAAACAGGTTGAACACCATTGAGTACGATGGCAACTGCCAAGAAGGGTGCAAGTTCGGAGACTGCTTCTTCGACGGTGGTGCCGCTAGTGAAGGCATAACTGATGACATGGCGCAATATGAGCACTACCACAGCCAATATTACAGCGATGACAAATGAGCTTAAGGTTACAATTATAACTGCGAAAGAGGCTGATTTTGGATGTCCTGCCCCAAGTTCGTTGCTCACCCTCACACTATAAAAATTAAAATAAATTTTATTCTCAATAAAATCCTTGGAGATAATACCATCTTGTTTTGTGATATTAATTTTATTGTATGTACCATGCTTATAATAAAGTCATCATGGTCAATTTGAATTTAGAGTTTATTAATGGAGTAGCATCCATGCTACAGAAAGTTTTAAACATACTTTGGTTAAAAAAAAAAAAAAAATTGTACCTAAACTTATCATTTTTATCTGAAGAGTATGATTATGCAATTGCCGTTGACATAATTGAAATATTAAGAATTAAAATGGTTTAAAACACATAATTTAACCACCAATGATTTAAAGAAAAATTGCAAATAAGTGTAACACTCATAAAATAATTACATTATAGCTGAAATCTTTTTTGATGCAATTCTGACACAATTATTTTTCCATTGCTTTATGAATAAATGCAAGTTTTCACTATAAAAAACGAAATTATTTTTCCATTGCTATATGAAATGCAAGTTTTCAACAGTTAAATGAAAAAATTGATAATTTTAAATATTTTAAGAAGATATTACTGATTTACAATTTTTCATAATTTAATTACTCCTATGAGTTAAAAAAATTCATACCTGGCAGCCGCATTGAACCCCACAGCAATCATGTACACCCATCCAGATATGGTCATGCTGCATGTGATATGATATCTCTTAGCTTGCTTACAAAAGTGTTTTTCAGATAATAGCTTGTTTATAACATAACACCTATGGTAAAAGGCTATAGGAGAAATTATTAAAAAAATTAAAATTAAAATTTAATTCTTATAACAAAATAAAATTTAAATTTAATTAATTTTAATTTTAATCTTTTGATTTATTTTTAATCTAAATCATCAACTTATTTCCATTCAATAAAATAGACAGAAAAATAGTATTTTAGTCATTAAATTCAATATAGAAATACATAAAACGTCTAAAATATTTTTTTTTCCTTTGGTTTAATTAACGGAAATAATAAAAGAATTTAGGTATTTAGGGTTTAAATTAATAAAATTAAAATTTTAAGATTTATTTTGTTACAAGAATTAATCCTGATTTTTTTATATAATTTTTCTAATATATATATATTGCATATTCACTGAGAGTGAACAATACAAATACACAAACAATACAGCCCCCCTTAATTAATAAAGTTAATTTCTATATATCCTTGTCACTACATCATATAAGAGTTTTAGAAACTAAATCTTTTAGTCTCTAAAAATAAAAATTTTGTTACAAAAGATATTTAGGAACCAATTTTTATTGTTTTGACAATAGTCGCTAAAAGGTTGTTTCAAAAAGTCAAAAACAAAATTTTTAGAGACAAAATTTTGAAAATGTCACTAATAAATAACTTTTAGAAACAAAATAATTTGGTCTCAAAATGATTTATTTTTTGAGATAAAAAATTTGCTCCCAAAAAGATAATAATTCATAAGTAATGTCCAATTTTCATTACTAAAATATAATAACAACATTTTTTGTAACAAAAATATTTGGTCTGAAAAAATAATTTTATCTTTAAATTTTGATCTCTAAAACCTTAATATTTTGTATGTGGAAGGCAATTGACAAAAATTAGCACCAGATGCAAAATATTATTTGAAAAATCAGTAATGATAGTATAAATAGAATATTCATACAGAATCTCTATAGAGAATGATATGAGTTAATACTATAAAATATATTCTATCTATCTATGTTTAGGGGTGTTCGCAGATCGGGTTGGGTCACATGGCTTCTCATTTGTCATCTGTCCGAATTTAGGCAGATTAAAGAAAATAATCTGTTTCCGTCTACTTAATTAGTAGATGCGAATTGAGCGGGTCGTACGAGTTGACAAATGAATATGGATTGATTTGAAGGTTTAGAATTAACTATTTTAATCTTTTTTTGAACTATTTTAGAGTAATTTTTTTTATTATTTTGGACTTTATTTGAGTCCAAATTTTTTTGTTCTTTATTTTTGTCAACTTTCATATTTCATAAATAGTTAATATTATTAACAAATAAAAAGTCTTCTTTTTAACATACAAAGTATAAAAGCATAACATCAATTTTTAGGATGGATTGGTGGATTGGATTGGATCAGATGACATCCCATCCAACATCCCATCCACCATACATCTGAACATAAGTTGATATAAAAAATCTTAGATTAGATTGAACAATTTTAACGGATTTAACTCAGTTTGTGAGAATCACTAGCGAAGAGAATTATTTTTTTGACAAAATAATAACTTCATTGAAAGATTATGAAAAAACATGCATAATTCAATTTACGTACCGAGCCAGAGAATTGACACATCGAACGTTAGTTGAGGATAGGGCCTCAAGGTCCCTACCACAAAACACACACTTCGAAGGATACAGATATATATACTATATACTTTTTTGTCGCGAACTCCTTTGAACTATTTACTTATACCAACTCAAGATGTAAGAAATCGAAGTGTTTGTGAAATTTGATAATTGTTTTTTTATTAAGTAATTGAAATATTTGATTATCTTGAGTAACAGGTGATATTTGTTCTACAATTTTGATTTTATAGATTTGTTTAAGTTTAAATTTTTTATCATATAACTGATCGACATCTTTTTTAGGCTTTTCCAATTGGCAAATTTCTCTACCATCGTTCAATTTCTATATCACTTTGATTTATAACTACAGACTTTCTAAAGAAACATTTACTAGATATTAAGTTAGAGAATGACTTACATATTCTAATCATAATAGGTAAATGTAGCTGTCAATAGTTAATTCTGCTTAAGCTCTATTGGTCTGCAACGGCTTCCTGCCTAATTAAGCTTTGTAACAATTTACATTGTCGATTTATATTAATTTATTTTTTATTTTATGTTTAATTTAATATTAACAATTCTTTGACTTACCTACCCAGCCAGAGAATTGGCACATCGAAAGTTAGTTGTGGAGAGACGGCGTCAAGGTCCCTACCATAAAACACACACTTCAACGGGTACAGATATATATACTATATACTTTTGTCGTGAACTCCGTTGAACTTTGTTTTTTTGGCTGGGAATGGTAGTGATTGGACTTGATTCATGAAAGGGATTAGCATGATCCGACAACTCCCACATTACACTTTTTATTGTCATATAAATGACAAAATCGTATTTGGGTAAACTGTGTTTAGTACTTTTCTATTTTATTACAATTTTATTTAAATATTTTTATTTATAATTGTAACAATTAATTTTTTACATTTTAAAATCAAGTTTCAATCTCATCTTTTTGTCAATTTACTGTTAGTAATGCTAACATAAATTAAAAATGAAGAGAATAAAGTGAGATTTTGATAAAAATATAAGGGTGCTAATGCGATAACAAAAATTTCATATATACTTCAAATGACAAATTTCTTTAATTTTGTTAATAGTAGATGGAAAGAAGAGTGAAATTTTAACTTCACTTAAAGTGTAGAGATTTATTATTACAATTGAAAGTGAAAGAACTAAAGTAAACTTTTTGTCAAAGTGTAAGGGTACTAAGTATAATTTAACCATTGTATTTTTTATTTAACAATTTTTGTTACTAATATTTTTTGAATACAAATTTTCACCAAAGGTAATTTTATTTTTATTTTTTAACAAAGAGCTTGTCTTCTGTTTTAATGGACTAGACTGTGTCCTAGAGCATTGTGAGGCTCGTTACAGTCTTATTTCGATAATTTGAATGATTAATTTTAAAAAATTTTATATATAAATCATCTATCAAAAACAATTAGATTAATTTCAACCATCAAAAACACATTATTTTATTATTTAAAAAATTGAATGATATACTTTTAAAATCATATTTGTCGTTCATTATTTGAAGACAAATATAATAAAATCATATATTTATTGTAATTGGATTATTTTAATCAAATTTTTATGAATAATCTACACAAAGAAATCTATAAAATAAAATATTCAAATAATCAGAATAAGATAGATCACATAAAACTAGACCTTTTTTTTTTTTAGGACATTTCTATCAAGAATGTTAGAGGATCAGGACCAACTGGTCCAATAGTCATATGTGCTTGTCAAGAGTGTGGTTGTGGTTCAATTCTCTCTTAGTGTAACTTTCGTGTATAAAATATATGTTAGAAATTAATAATTTAAATTTCTGAATTCTTTTAAAATTATATATTAATAAGTTAGACTTTATATGTTTAGTGTGTATTGAATCTGAGATCCATAAGTACATCTTCAAATCCCAAATTGTACTCACTAGGTCAATCCCTTGAGGTTGGATTGATCTTTGAGATTAGTCAAGGTGCACATAAATTGATTTGAACACTTAATTATAAAAAATTAAAAATTAAAAAAATTAAAAATTAAAAATAGACACATGCTATGTTGTTGCAGGTAAAACTAGGGTAGACATTTTAAAGATTTTGAATTTTCTTACCAAATAGAAAGAGAGTCCAAGGCAATCTCAGCATCTTCAAGTAACCCAGCAATCAAAACAAGAATCTGATAATACCAAGTCTCCAAACACAGCATAACCCCAGAAGCAGCAGACAGTTTCAAGAAATTCCACAGCCCAGAAAATGCCAGCAAACTGAACCCACTCCATGTCTCCTTGCACCTACTACTCATCAATATATACACAAATTGAGCCACCACCACAATCCACCATGACAAACTCAACACCAGTGAAGCACCCAACAATCCCCAACCCAACTTGTACACCACGAGCCACGTCACAATCAAGTGAAATACTAGTGTGACCGCGGAGATTATGGCACTCGGGGCTACAATGCTCTGCGCTTGTAAGAATTTTTGAATGGGGAAGTTGGCGGCGTATGCGAAGATTTGTGGGATGAGACCGTATACGAATATGGCAGCTGCAGACGCTATTTCAGACGATTCGCCGAGCAAGAGGAGGAGGGGCTTAGAGAATATGTAGATGAATGTGAGTGGAATGCCTGTTGCCATGAGGAGGATTGTTGATCTTTGTAAATATATGCCTAGCATTCCATACTTGTGAGCTCCATAGGCTTGGCCACATAGTGTCTCCACTGCACTTCCCATTCCAAGCTGAAACATGTATTATCATGTATACATTTGTTAATTTATGTTGTATATACCATTTTAATGTTTGTGTATGATCTTAACATATATGTACATACTTATGTGTATATATGACATGTATGTTTATAAAACTATTATTGATTTTTGGTAAATCATTTTTTGCTTCTGCTATTAATTTTCTCATTATTACAAGTATGTGATTTAAATTTTCTTTTATTGTTATTTTCAATTTGTGTAATACTTTTATTCTCCTTTTTTTCAATGTCATGTTGATACAATTGCAATTTTTTTAATTTTACATATTAAGAAAAAAATCATGAATTAGGACGTATGATTTCAACTACTAAGGTTTTTTGTTTTTAATCATATTTGGGCAAATTTAATTTTATTCCGATTAAGTGTTATTTTTTACGTACTAATTTAATATTAAATTTTAATTTACTTTTTGAATTAAAAAAAATAGTAGTTTATATCCATTCATAAAAAAAATTATTTATGTCTTGGCCTCGAAAATGAATTTTTGGTTCTGTTCTCAAGCGGAATGAAATTTATTATAAAGTAAATTATTGAGTTGAATCAATTTAACATTCAAAATTTAGTTTGAAATGGGTGTTCACATTCTATTAAATTATTGTGCTGTGTTCATTGGAAGAAATAACCTTTTAAAAGAAACTAGAAAAAAATGTCAAAATCTTATAATAAAATGTAATTTTTAAAAAGTTGAGGAAGCAATACGCCCCTTCTGGACTTCTGGTGACTCCACCACTGATTGTGACATAGGCATAACACTACAAAGTTGTTTGATTCTTTCTGACGTAGATTTTATGGGTTCAAAATACAGAAGTACTCCTCTCTTTGCAATGTCTCGCGGTCTCGGTCTATGTTGGCTTTGATAGGACTACTGGTCACTCAACCATCCCTCACTTAAAATCAAATTTTGAAAATAAATAAACTATCTTTAAGCTTTCTTTTTTTAAAAAAAATTGTTTTTAAAATTAACTTCTGTTTAAATTAGATAAAAAAACGTCAGAGTTAATTGATATATGATATAAAAATATATTATTATATTGTGATTTGCATCAAATATGTGAGTTATATAAAATAAAATATTTTTATGTTCATTATTGTTAATGTGTTATTATTTGTCTAATTTTGGACATAAATTAATTTTTGGAGTAATTTAGGAAAAAAAAAAAACTTGAAACATGAAGGCAAAAGTGAGAAAAAAAAAAATTTAAGGGACAAAATGAAAAAATGACAACATAAAAGAGACAAAGTGAGCTTGGGCTTTGGGGTGTACTTCTTCTAGGCTTCAAGTTCAACTCTTTTTAAGTACTATTAACTCTTTGAGGCCGTGTCTAATATTTGTCTGATTCACATAAAAGAGGCCCTTTGTCTCCGAATTAGTCTAGATGCACTTAAACTGATTCATATGGAAGAGGCTCTTTGTCTCTAAATTAGTTTAGGTGCACTTAAACTAAACCGGACACTCCATCATAAAAATAAAAAATAAAAAATAAAAGAGACAAAGTGTAACTAACCATAATTTTTTTTAGTATTTTATAGTTGGACAAAATAAAAAAATAAATAAAAATCTTGTATGTGTACCAATTTTTATATGCATGCATGTTCACATATGTTACATGGACACAAAGATGAATGTAACATGGATGCTCACATAAGCATCCACAAACATGAGAGAGAGAGAGAGAGAGAGAGAGAGAGAGAGAGAGAGAGAGAGTGAGTGAGTTACCATGACACCATAGGCAAAGATTTGGATGCCATTGTTGCCAAGAGAAGCAGCAGCAAGCTCAAGATTACCAAGATGGCCACAAAAGATTTGGGTGGCCATGGAAGTGACATTGTTGAGCAAGTAAACTACAATTGCAGGAGCTGCAAGCTTGAAGAGAGTATTAAGTTCAATGGTTGTGGCTCGTTGTAGTCTCCGTAAGTACGACAAGCTCATATCCGATAGCACGTCTTCCAACGCCGAGCTCACCGGCTCCGGTGTGGATGTGGATTGCTCCTTCGATTTTGACATGATTTGGTTTACCTCACCTTCTGCAATAGTCTCCATCTCTCTCTCTCTCTCTCGCTCTGTCTCCGTAAGCAGGGGACGGGAGTTTTTAAAAGCAAACCTTGAAGGCTCACAAAGAATAAGGTTTTGCTTGGTTTGGCTTTCATGAGATATCTTATCTTGGATTGTTTGGAAAGCAAAATTTTAACTTAATTCCTTTCTTTCTAATTTTTTACACACTTTTTCATAAAAATATTAAAAAGTCATTTCAACGTATTAATTTTTTTTTATATCATATTTTAACCAAAAAAATCAAAAAAATTACCAAAAAAACTTGTTTTTGAACAAAGCCTTAAGTCTAAAATTCACAAAAAGATAAAATATTCTAAAATAATTAATAAGATAAAATATCATATCCAAACTATAATTATTTCACTTTTTCTCTCACAAATATCGCGTCCAATTACAAAAAATTTCAATTATCATCCAAAATACAAAAATTTTAACCTACTAAAATAAGTAAAAACTAAAATAACCTACTAAAATAGCAATTTTCCAAACACCCACTTTATCCACATTAAGTCTAATAATCCTGTTGTATAAATGTGTAAATCAAGAAAAGTAAGTCAATATGTTATTTTCTTTTTTGATAAATTACAAATATATCTGCTGAGATTTATTTAAAATACAAATTGTTTATTGTGAAAAAATAACTAATTATGATTTGAATGTGACATTTTGCCTTATTAATATTTTAATTTATTTTGTCTTTTTATGACTAAAATAGTCAAAAAAAAGTCCATGCCAAACATAAAGGTGGTATTTGTGAAAGGAAAAATTGAAAATGTAATTTTTCTTCTGTCGTTTTAGTTATATCAGCCATTTTCCTTTTTTTTTTCCTTAAATTGATGATAAACCAATAGAGGTGGTATTAGTAACAAAAATTTAAACTTTAAGTACGATTATTTTAGTGTTATTTCAAAATTTCAATATTAATTTCTGTAATTATCTTCAATTTCAAAGAAAGTCAATATAAATTATGAAAGAATAAAAATAAAGAAAAGGTGAATATAAATTATGAAAAAATAAAAATAATCAAGAAGTGAAAAACATAATTAATTTGAATTCAATCATTGATTAATACATATGATTAAGAAAAGAATAAAGGTTAGCGCCAGCACTACTTATGAAACTTCACCCAATTGTCAGTTTTATCATGAACAAGTGTCGTCACATGATTATTATCATATTAGTCCGTTGTGTTAGTCAGTGTTTCATTGAATCCACCAACTAATTACAATAAAGCTTGGTAGTTTGAAAAACAATTGGTCCAAATGGCTCAATTGTCTAAAACGATTTTGTTTTAGACTTTTTTTTTTTTGTTTATATCTGAAACAGAGGGAGGGAGGAAGAGAGAGAGAGAAATAAAGAGAAGAGAAAGCCACAACGTCTGCTCTATCTTTGTCTTATTCTATACTTTCCAATTTCCCTCTCTTCTCTACTCTCATCGCCTTCACCATGGCACAATTTGCAAGTTCTTCGCCTCCTGGTACACCCCCTGTCATGTTTCATATGTATATATATAAACATGATTGATTCGATTGCAATTTTACATCTTAATTTTTTTGCCGATTTAGTGAACCAATGAAGAAGAAGATGGGTTGCATTTGAAAATTTGTACAAAAAAAGTGATAAACTTCAAAACTGTAATTGGGTTGTGTGCTTTATAAATGTTTGTTAGTAAAGTTGTTTAATTTGAAGAAACCTTACATGAATGTGATTGATATCGTTGAAGATGGTGATATGCTGTATTTGGTTGGTTCTGATGTTTGTTAGTAAATGAGAGGGTAATTTATAAATAAATATTAGACCGAGCTACGATCCTGTTCTGGACCGAGCTAAAGGCCGGGGTATGGATTTTGAGTAGCTCGGTCCCATTTTGTCTAAGTTCCAAACTGGGCTGAAGGGTTAACCGAGCTAACTGAAACTAAGCTTGATGGCTGGCCGAGGTGTTTTATAGGAAGGAGGCCGAGCGAGGTGTAGCTCGGTCAATGCCCTCCACGTCATTGCTTAGTTAAGAGCATGACCAAAATAAGCTAGCTCGGTTAAACCAGCCTAGACAAAGGACAGAAGTATCTTACTTGGTTGGTGATAAGTAGAGTGTTATCAGGATAGACACTCTTGACTAAGAGTGTGATTCCTAGTAGGACTCTGCTAAGGAGAGTTGGAATCCTACTAGGATTGTGCCAGGTGGAATCTATAAAAGCTCATAACAGGACCTATGTACAGGTTTCATAATTCTCATCTTAGAATACACAGAGCTTTTGTGTCTATTGTCTGTTTGCTGACTTAGACATCGGAGAGGTTTCCGGCACACACCCGGCGGCTAGCTCACATTTTTGTTTTCAGGTAATAAAGCGACGACGTTTGGAAGAGTGCAAACTTGATCAACAAGATTATACGAGAAGATTATTTCGTGCTCGTACAATTAGTGCCGTATATGGGAATGTCTCTGAAGAACAAAACCTTTTGACCAAGTTTTCCTCTTTGGTTGAAACCAATGGCGCACGATGAAGATTTGTCATAATCTGCTATAGATGGGCAAACCCCGGAAGGGGGAGGGAGGCGTGAAGGTTTGCCTTCTATCCTACCCATGGCAGAATTAGAACCCTAGTGATGGAACTCCCGGAGGGACATGCGGGAGAGATGGGGCACCAGCCCTCATCACTCTCAAAGCCCTGAACGGCAATGGCAGAGGTTGGATCCTCAAGTTCTGGAGGATTGCGCAAGGGAACAAGATGAGTTAATAAGGAGGATGGCGGCAGACATGGAGACAATGAAGCGCCAAATAAAGGGAAAAGGGGTAGCGACGGAAGACGGACGCAAAGACAACACGCTCTCTTACCACTCGGAAGATTGTGACAGACATGTCACGCCATCGCAAGCAGAAAGTAGGAGCTTTAGAACAGGCGACACCCAATCAAGGACTTCCAGGACTCGTAACTCCAGGTCTATGAGAACGAGGAATGAAAGGTCGTATACAGAAGAAAGAAGCTATCGGCCCTCGCATACGCACCAAATGACATCTAGGCACATGGAGTTGCCTAGGTTAGTAGACTTGTGAACAGTGCTTGAGGAAAGGGCCCGATGGAAGGAGGACACCAGGGCTCACGACCCTCGCAGAGTTTCAGCCCTACAGCGATTGGCCCCTGGGACACATGGGAGTGTCAAGGTAGGGATGCCAATGCCACGCCTTGCTTACGAACCAGCAGATAAAGTATTAGCAAGGTTATAGAGCTCGCCGTTTGTTTCTGCAATTGAGAACGCACCACTACCCTCAGGCTTCCACCAGCCCAAATTCACCACTTATAAGGGGAAGTCAGACCCCTACATGCACTTAAGCCACTTTCGTCAGGTTATGGCTGTATACTGGCAAAACAAGGCTTTAATGTGCATCCTGTTTCCATCCAGCCTTGGCGACCTAGGTCTAACCTAGTTCAAAAGGCTGCTAGAAGGTAGCATAGCCTCATGGGCACAGTTGGCAGAAGCGTTTGTGATTACATTCAGAACGAATGCCAAGACACCAATGGAGATTGACCAACTGCTCTCCATTGACATGGGCGAGAAGGAGATATTAAGGTCTTACAACAGTCGGTATTGGGAGACTTTCAACCAGATTGGTGATTGCCCTACAAATCTCGCCATCGCACAATACAAACGGGGTCTACCAGTCGGTAATAAGTTGAGGGACTCACTGACAATAATGCCACCCCTCACGATGGAGGCCCGAATGGAGATAGTGCATCAACATATCCGAGTAGAAGAAGATAGCGCCCGTGCTAAAACAAAAGCTGACACAACAGCGTTGCCAGATAAGAAGACTGTAGCGAAAATCAACACGGTAGAACAACCAAGCAAGAATGGGCGAGGTAGGGGAGCCAATAGAGAGGACCCCCAAACAAGGAAGTTAAGAGTCCGCACTGCCATTACCACAGTGTTCAACAAACCTATCTACCGGATTCTTAGCGAGATACGCGATGAACCCTTCGTTCGGCGGCCAACCAAGTTGGGAGAAGTGCAAAGGGGTTACGATGAGAGGCACTGTTGCACTTTTTATGGTAAAAAGGGGCACCGAACTGAAAATTGCACACCATTGCGGCAACATTTGGAGGAGTTAGTGGCCGCTGGGCACTAGGACCAGTATATTGAAGGGGGAACACAACTTGCCCCCTAGGACCTCAATAGACCAAGTGGGATGCCGGTCGACGGTCCATCTGAAGGCATAATCAACGTTATACATTGGATCGTCGAACCTGAGTGGGCATGTGAGCTCAGAGAGATGATCAAAAGAGCTGAGTACTTGAGAGAGGTATTCAGTGCACAACCTACCGTCAAAAAGGGCAAAACAGAGGCTATGAACGTCATATCCTTTTCAGACAGGGATCTAGTAAGACTACATTTCCCTCATAATGACGCACTGGTGGTCACTTTGTGCGTCAATAATTTCGACATCAAACAATTTCTGATTGACCAAGGAAGTTCATGCGAGATAATGTACTTCGACACCTTCAAACAACTGAAATTGGAGGATAAGGACTTGGCACTTGCGACATCTCTCCTCGTCGGTTTCAACTCAATGCCAGAATGGCCAGTGGGCAAGATAATCCTACCAGTCAAGGCAGGAACAATGACAAAACAATTATGGGTATTGAAGGTCCCTTCCACTTACAACATAATCTTGGGAAGAACATGGATGCACGCCATGCGCTCGTGGCGTCAACTTGCCATCAGGCATTACGGTTCCCTAACGAAACCGGCGTGATTGAAGAAGTCATAGGAGACCAAATCATGTCGAAATAGTGTTTTGTCACGATAAATGGCAGCTGTGCTGCAAAAGGGTTTGTTCAGATGGTGGAGGAGCCAGAAAGCAACGAACTATTTGTAGATGTCAGCAAAGCAGCAGAACAGAAGGCAGTGGAAGATTTGGTTGAGGTAAGGATAGATGAAAAAAACCCAGAAAAGTCCTTTTTACTCGGCTCGTCATTATCCAACACTGAGAGAGTAGAGGTCATGGAATTCTTAACCTCTAACATCGAAGTGTTCGCCTGGACACCATACGACATGCTTGTCATTGACCCAAATTTCATCTGCCATCTATTTAATGTCC